CAGTCAAAACTGGTTTGTTGGTAACTGCATGGTTGACGTGGTTCTCTGGTGGTCTAGAGCGTGCACCAATGCAGCGTCTTGATATATGTGGTATTCGATCGAAGAAGGGTTGTTTGGTCTTCTTTATAGTAATATACTTTCTGTGTGAAATTTGCCCTTGGTGAGTTAAGAAGGATATGGGGAATTGGGGGCGAAAATACTCAGAGAGTTCTTTGTGTCCAGCCTGCCTAGTGAACGATATATACGAATGCCTCCTTCACGGGTGATGCGTGGGAATTTCTTGTTCCCAAAAAGGAGATGCTAGCCTTGCGTTCAGTGCTTCGACTGATCATTTGCTTCCATTCGTTGCTTGAAGAACCCTGAGACCTGTGGTTTTGGACTCTCGATGTAAGGAGGTACTGGACCCGTCACAACAACCGGCATATTACAAAAGTGGCCTAAAGAAGATAGTTGGCCTAAAGCAGATTTATTGGTGAAAATGAGGAGTATGTTGTACAATTTCAACCAAGAAATATCAGTGTAACGATATTGCCCAGTCTATTGAAGCATTGCTTCTTGAATGCCGTATGCTCCTGGGTAGTAAAGCGGTGGGATATATGAGACTGGCATTTGCAAATATGAAAAATGTAGAATCCGAGGCGAGATCTTCGCCCTTTTATCAGATCAAAGCATCTGCAGAGCAAGCCTGTCCGTAATACGGGAGACGTTGGATACGAGCCCTTGTAGCGCGGGCAACAACAGGTTGTTTGTAGTTGAGTCCTCCGCAGGGCACCACCCCAGGATACATTCCACGTCCCTGCAGGGCTTGCCAGTGTTAATAGGGAGCTCATAGCTCGCTTGCGCAAGGGGATTAGTGTTCTTGAAAATAGATATTTTGGCAGCCTTTTTCTATGACACACCTTTGTCAAATTTTCTGACGTTGTCGCCTCAGCCAGCGTGCTCTCTCTTCCAATATCCCGGTATGAATATAATCCGCTCTGGGGCGTAATATATAACCAAGTAAGACAGTCGCAAACTACAGGCATTCATCTAAACAAGGCCCACATTCTCGAGATGCTTAGCATTCTTTCGTGGTTAGAAAGGTGTTTTTACACTGACGGATAAAAAAGCATAATGCAGCTCCGGAAGGATCCACTAACGCAGTCAAATATCAGGCACGCTCCTCGGAGCCGCTTCAAAGACAGCGGTGATCTGTTTTTTCTCCGGCAGTGGGTGCAATTACGTTTTTGCCGGGTGGGAGCCGAGGTTGGTACTGCTTTTCACTAAAGGCCTTGTGGTTCGAGGTTCTTCATTTGAAAGGCGCTTTTCTGTCATTGGGTGAACAAGTCAGCGTCTTTTGCGCCAAAGTATGCCGGATTGCCTTCCGCTTTCTGTGAATAGAGGCCGTGAAAACGTCGAGTACGCCTGAAACAGGCTGTAAAGTTGGTCTCCATACATGTCGACAGCACTGTGAGCTAGGAAGGGACATCCAGCATCGTCACAGACTTCGCTCCGTAAGAGCTCGAAGAGCGTTCATCTCATGGAGATTTCTCATTCAGTGATAAATAAAAGCACCAGAGACCATTTACTTCGATCAGGTGGGGTCTTGGTTGCTTCTTGAAAGCAACCTGAAAGCAGCTGGTGTCGATCTGAAATAAGTCTATTAGCGGTAGTAGCGGCCATGGATGAAACCAGGTGGAAGCCTTATATTTTCGTGTCGGAGCACTTTTTACTCTGATATTTGAGCGAGCCAAGCGCGATATAAACAAGCTGGCCGAGGCCCGTACATTTTGTGCTGGAATGCAACGCCTTCTAATCCCTCTGACCAGGGATACAAGGGCGGTAGCTGGGCTTCTCTCCTTTTCTGGTTTAGGGAGACCAATGAACATTAGCTCAAGTTAAGTAGCCTTTCTTCATGAAAGCAGCAGTATCATCTGGGAACACAATATAGGATACAGAAATGTATGTGGCGTTCCAGACCAACAAACAATCCGAAATCCCGCCCCAAGACATCCCCCTCAAAATAGTGGTGTTGCTTTAGCACATTTTCCCCTCAACTATTAGCGACCTACGTATTGTCCTGATTCATGGACTTCGGATCGTGAGAATATTTCTCTTCTTCGCCCATAAAGCCTGTCGCGAATCCCTGATGACGAAGAAGCACACGGTGATTCCGCAGCGCGCCTAGTACGTCAGAATAACCTCTGTCTCTGCAACAACCCTCTTGGATTCGTGATGATCACTTATGAGTAAGTCTGTTGTTCAACGATAAGCAGACAATTTCGATAACTCGTCAGCGGCAGCACAAGTTCGAAACTTCGATTTGGAGGAAAACACCACTCGCTACTGTCCCTGATCTTTGCAGTACCTATATGCCCTGCTGTAGTGGTTCTTTGCAAGAGTGCGTTGCACGTACTCCAATCTACTGGATGACACACCATTTGTGGACAAATAAGGTAGAATATGACCTATATAGTCGACACAAAGGCTTCGATCAGGTGCGACCAACAAGAATATTGCATAGACCCATGTACAAATAGTTGGAGGAATTGTCTGGTATTTTTATCCTGGCGTCATCAACTTTTGGTCTGTGTACCACAGTTTAAGAGGTTACTCGTGCTTATTGTCCCCTTTTTGAGAACATTGTACTCTATGTTACATATCCCAATTCGCAGGACGTTGTAAATGCACGTAACGAGAGCCTTTAGGTTAGATTCATTTCCGTAGAAACATACTCGAATCGCAGAATAATTTTCTCGAACTGGTTGATGAACCCAAAAGTCTGACCCACAAGGCAGTGGGACAACGTAGGGTTTTGTTCGGGGACCCTGACCCTAGCCTCTGACTCGAAAGCCTGACTCACGAGGCAGTGGGAGAGTGTGGGTTTTTTTGGGACCCTACCCGGAGCCGACGACTCAACAGTCTGACCTGCTCGGCTGCAGGGGGTTGGCCTAACCCGAGGGCGCAGGGAATAAGGCATTACAGTCTCATTCTTGATGAGGCTGCGCACGGCAGGTGCCTTTTGAGCAGCACAGGGCTCTTTGGTTTTAAAGGTATTTCGACCGTTTTGGATAATGCACCGGCGGTCACGGTCAATCGTTGGGCGATCGGAGTGTGCGGCTTTGGGGCCGACCTTTTCTAACCCGTCCTTCCTCGGGGGGAGACAGCACCGCTGCTGGTCGCCTGGGGGAAACACCTTACTGCTTTCACACTCCTGTCGCAGAGGACAGTACGACTTTACCCCCAGACCGCCTCGGAGGACGATTGCTCGTAGTACGGGGTCTGGTTGCTCTCGGTCTAGCTGCTCCCATTTGGCCTTCCTAGCATGGTTGCACCTTGTGGAACGAAGTTCCAGCCAGTGTAGCCCGCGGGATCATTGCAACACTGAAGCCCGACCACCACGTCAAGGCGGCAGCTTTAGGCTGGGAGGCTCAAGGTGGGGTACCTCAACCAAACTCCCTTCCTCAGCCTGGGCAACCGGGAAGTTTCATTTGCCCGCGCACTTCAGCGTCCACCGATGTCCCTCCCCAACCCCTTCCCAGTGCACAAGCAAACGTCGCTGGGCCATTTGACTGTCAGTCATCTGACCGAAG